TTTGGTAATTATTTAGAACAGGAGAGGCAGCACCAATGATCTTGACCTTGACATATATTATCAAGGTCATGATCCTGAGTAACCTCCAACAAGTTTTAGCCGTCGCTCGTGCTTCGTTAAAAAGTTATTAACAATCATAGTTTTAAAATTAGCGTATTATTTCTGCTATACATGTATTATGATATTAAGTACTATTCTACACCTTTCTCTGTTCAGAAACGTTAAACTTTCGACGCGAAGTAACTTTCACCCCTTTCCCCCGCTGCAAAGAGGCACACGTCTTCTATGATTGTACTGTTGCTATAATTGTACTGTTGCTATAATTGTACTGTTGGGGGAGACCTCTACCTGTCGTAGGCCCGCCCCCCTGCACCCCTCCCCCCCCCCGTGTGTGTGTGTGTGTGTGCGTGCGTGCGTGCGTGCGTGCGTGCGTGCGCGCGCGCGCTACCAAATCGTTTTATGTTCTATAGTGTTTGCGTGAATGCAGTAGGTTTCGCCTCCCAAGTTTCGCGAATTTTAAATACAATCACGGTAAAAATACAATCATACAAAAATACATCACACATTCACGCACACACGGGGGGGTGCAAGGGGGCGGCCCGCCCCCCTCCCGCACCCACCTCGTCGGTAGAGATCTCCCCCAACAGTACAATCATGAAAGTCGTGTACCCCTTGGCTGACGGAAGGAGGGTAAAAGTTATTTCGCGTAGAAAGTTTAACGTTCCTGAACAGAAAAAGGTGTAGAATGGTACTTAATATCATACATGTATAGCATACGTTAATTTTAAAACTATGATTGTTAATAACTTTTTAACGAAGGACGAACGACGGCTAAAACCTGTTGGAGGTTACTCAGGGTCATGATCTTGACAATATATGTCAAGGTCAATGTCATCGGTGCTGCTTCCCCTATTCTAAATAATTACCAAATATTTTATTACAGCGTTTTGGAAAGCTTTCGACATCCAGTTAGTAGATTCTGGAATAAAAAAGCGTTGCATTTCAAAAAAATCGATGTGACCTTGATCTGACATTGGAAACGCCACCCAAGATCAAATTGATAATATATTAGTAAATACATTTTTTTAAACCATGTAACTGTTGTTTCAAACATTCATTCCAAGACTTTTGACACGCTTTATCTCTCCCTCCATCCCTCTGTGTATTTGTCGTGTGTGTGTCCGGAATTTAAATGTGAAAACTTCGAGAGTGTATAGAGGATCGATAAACCAAGAAAAAATTTTGGAGAGATATGCTCGTTTTTTGAAAAAATCACAAAAAAGACAAAATATAGTTTCGTTTTTGTACTTTTTTATTACTTATTCATATTATATTTATTCACTTGCAATGTAGATATTGTTTAAAAAGTTGGCCCCTCTTGCAGGAATGCAAATATATATCATCAGTATGAACAGCTCGTATTGCAGTCAAATACTGATCTGGATGCCTATCATGGAACAAAGTTGGAATGGATTCCGATCGGAATCTATTTCAACTTCGTTTCATGATACCCTGGTGATATTTAGTGCACTGCAGCTTTGATTTGATGAAAGAATTTGTTGTTTATGAAATAAGTATAACACACATAAAAATCTCATTTCAAAAGCAACAAATTCAAACAATATCTCAGTACTAGGTATTGATTTTAAGCAACAAATTTTTTACTGATATTTTACTCTTATACCGCGTTTGCACCCTGATATGTTTTTTATTGTTATTTACATGTTTATTATAAGCTAGAATGGTCGCGTTCAACAGACTCAACTGTTGAAGAGCGGATCCGTGAACGCTCGCTGCTATTGGATGATTTAAAAGAATATACCAATAGCAGTGAGCGCTCACGGATCCGCTTCGCAACAGTTGAGTCTGCTGAACGTGACCAATGTCAACATGAGTATTATCATGGTCCACACACCACCTCCTCCTATTCCTTCTCGGAGCGTAGGACTTTTCACACGAAACGATCAGGTCCACTCTGGCCCACCACATCTCCCCCTTTGCTTCGAGGCATATGATTTTTCACGTGAAACGATTCTTTGCTTAATTTATAAACAAATTCTCTGTTTTAAAAATATTAACTATTTTCGCAGTATTTCGTGGCTGCGACGGATTTTCTAGCCTGAATATGCCTAAAAAGTCTCGTCGACTTTATATCTCGGTTCACAGAGCAAGCAACACTTTTTTCTTGTGAAATCTTTTTTACGCATAAATATCAATTGAGTATATTTTTATCAAAATTTAAGGTGAAGCAGGTATTCTTAATATTTTTTATTCAATTTAGTTTTTTTGAATTTTGATTTTTAAAATAACCTTTTCATTAATTGACATATATTTGTAACTAGCACGGAAAAATACAATAAGAAAAATAATTTGAATCAAATCAGAGGTATGGGTTTTTCGGAACTTGATCCCTTTAAAATTTTGTATGAAATTTTAAACCTTTAATCGATAATGTAAATAGAAAAATTTAATCGTAAGATCTTAGACCGGAATCAGACTATGAAGATTGAAATTTCACACCAATGAGGACAAAGGAATTTTTGCTCCTATTTTATTTTGATTGATCCAACTTCAATCTTTCAATCTTCAAATTCATTCTTCAATACGTAGTTTAATATTGGCCTTAAAAATGTTTTCCTGTTTACAAATGCAATAGATTATAATGTATATAAGTAATTTGTTTTAATTTTTATTATACATAAATCATGATTTTACGTAAATTGATTTTTGTCATATGTATATACGCATATCTTTCATAAAATCTATAAAACTGTAGTGTAAGCCTAATATTACATTTGTCGTATGACAAAATTTTTCAAATCTGTTGATTAACTGTAAAGCAGATAGGTTTTCGGATCTCTGTCCTACAGCCAATCAAGACTTAAAAAGTCTTGTCGTACGACACATGAAATATCTAAGATTATTGAAAAGTGAATATTTTACGAGATATTTATAGGGTGACCAGGCGTCCGGTTTTTCTCCCCGGACATGTAACCATTTTTTTTTTAAAACGTTCGGGGATGGTCGGCCGGGTTTTTAGCATGTCTTCCGTCGGGAGTATCCGTTTTGATACTCATTTTGATAGAGAGCGAGAGGATTGGAAAATGTTAAGCTGGTCGCGCATATATAAAATATAGTAAAACTAATCACTAAATTATTATTATGTATCTGTGATAAAAAATGTGAAATGTATATTAGGTATTATATCATATTAAAGCCGTCTTTTGTTAATATTACATACATATACACTCACACGCAAAAAAAAACGGGTCACTAAATTTTAGCATAAATTTTTAATATTTTCAAACAGCGATAATTCAGTCAAAAATTATCATAACGAGATATTTAAAAAAGTATTTTAATGCTTGAAATCTCTACTTTTCATACTGGTACTTCAAAAAAACGGCTGATATTTCATGAAGTTACAAACATAAATGAAGATGCATCAGATCACTAACGACCCTTTTTGCTTCAACGTTAAATAACGGTGAAAAAAAATCGTACAGAGCTCAACGAAAAAGCAAATTAAAGATAAAGATTCACTCTTTCGAAAGCTGTAAACGGCATTTGTACATAATTTTTAATTCGTGCAACTTCACAAATTTCGTATAAAATTTTAAGATCTGATGCATCTTCATTTATGTTTGTGTAACTATATGAAATATCGGCAAGATCGGTTTTTGAAGTACCGGTCTGAAAAGTAGAGATTTCAAGCTTTAAAAAGCTTTTTTAAACATCTCGCTATGATTTTTCGTTGAATTATTGCTATTTAAAAATTAGTGCTAAAATTTAAGTGGCCCGTTTTTTTGCGTATGAGTGTATATTTGCTTTCCGATAGTTGTATTTTAATATTTTTATGTAAGATGATGAGATGTATAAATACTTGATTTTAATGAAAAAAAATATTGAAAATCGTTCGTATCTTTGATGGCTAATTTTCAGCACTAAATACGTGTTTTTTGTTTTTATTTTGTGAGTATTTTTATTATATTATACATCTTAAATTCTTTTTTAGTAATTTATATAGATACGCGTACCGCGTCTCGTTTTTATATAGTAATATTTTAAATAATATTTTATAGCATGTTCACTTTTACTTGCGTTCACTTCTGCGTGTTATTTGTTTAAATTTACATTATTCGCTCTTTTCTGTTTACAGTTTGTTGGATCGTTAGTGAAGCTACGACACTGATGTATAATAGAAGACGTTGCAACATGTACGTTTTCATCTATGTTCCATCAAATCCCATGATGAAAGTATCAAAAACCATTGGTTGATTTTATAGTTATTGCAGTTTAAAAGAGATTATTGGATCAATCTGAACATTCCGTGAAAACAGTTAACGAACAATTGTTTGTGCTTAATTTGTGCCGTTTAAAGCTAAATTTAACATCTTTTTAGATGAAAATATATTTGAAGTGGACGGATGTATGTTCTAAGAAATTAGAAATTGTGTGTTATGTGCAAGCGTTTCCTCGTGAAGACATCAAAAAGTTATACATATAGAAGTACATACAAGAGACTGATATAATTAATCGACGATTTAACGATTAGATATTAAAGAATATAGTTAGTTCAGTTTATGCATTAAGAAAAATGCATTGATTTACCATAAGAGTGCCATTTTGATATCTTGTAACCGCGAGCGCTTAGTACATAAAAAAATACCGACAACGAGACAAGATAACTACATGCCTTAAATTTTCAAGATAAGTGATAGTTTGAATGACGTAAAAACAGAAATCTTTATAAATTGTATTACGCATTTGTACTAGTGTATCTATAACATCTCTTCTATAAAGTCTCCTCAATCAGTCTTTCCAAAATCACGCGCAAATATTACTTATTACAAAAGACGAGTTCATTATAAGCTGCAGTTAAAAATTTTATGTATCTGAAAAATTAGATTTTTACATTTTATACATAGAAATTGTGAAGTTTGTTGATTATATATCAATATGCGAATAATATATATTAAAGAAAGGAACATTAATAAAAAATAAAAAGAAAAGAGAGAAAAATTAACGATCAAAATGAAAAATAATCAGCATTGCATGATTCTTAACACCAGTGAGACTAACAATTATCATCAACCTGTCTCGGCAAAACCTTCAGTTGTTTCGGTATCAAGTATCGACTCTGACGTCAGTGACAGAAGAGATGTACGAGAAGAATTGTACGCTGGGATTTTTAGGAGACATAGAAAAACTATATTGGTATTAGGCAGTTTTCTTAAGATGTTAAGGGTGAATAGAAACATGAACAATTACGCTAGCATTAAACCCAATGACGAAACAGATGAATAAATTAAATCATTGCTGGATCAATTAAGTAATGGAGAAATTACGTTTTAAATTTCAATGTGTGTGTGTGTGTGTGTGTGTGTGTGTGTGTTGTGCGTGTACGTGTGCGCGCGCGCTTGTGTTGGAACTTTATTAATACGTTTTTTTATGTACTTACATATAAAACAAATTTTTTCATATATTAATTTTTTATATAAACAAGTGCAGCTATAGTTATATTTTTTAATGTATCTCGTAGAGCACGCGCAAAATATAAAAAAAATGTACGTAAATAAGTAAACTTATCATATATAAAAATTTCTGAAGGTATTAATTGAATATATGATAATTTTGGTATTGATTCTAAATTGTATAAAGATTTTGTATGACATTGCTGCAAATATTTGTTCCTAATTATGTTATAGACAATTATTAAAGAGTTCTGTTAGATTAAATTCACGAAATCTTAATATTAAATTAAACTATAATGAATTGATGAAATATTGAATTGATTTTTTATTTTTACATAATTACATGATTTTCTGATACATTATTCTTTTTATGTCAAGAAATTATTTATAAAAAAAATTGTTTCTATATCACTGACTAAATGTGAAAATCAATGAATAAAAACTGCCAATTTAAAGATTTACATAAATAGAAAAAAAATTCTTATATAAATATACATATATACATATATATACAATATATACATAAACTTTTTAACTATTGTAAAAATGCAGGAAAAAAGTCCAAAAAATGGCCAATCGATAAAAAATAATTGATATATTATTGACACAATTTTTTAAACTTTCGTCATTGATTTTAATGTCATTTTGCGACAGTTAAATATATACAACGCGTAAATTTTTGATATATTATATTTTAAAATCTTTCAATGTTTTTATTGATCACAAGAACTAATCTGATATTAAATAGTTCTTTCTTATTTTGCAGAAATATTTGAACAGATTGCATGCACTGAGCCGAATATACGCCTTAATTGCTTTAAGATTCGAAATGCACCAAAAGTTTTGGTAAATTAACTATATTTTTCTGCATTTTACCATACATTATACAAATGTATTTTCTCGTCTTAAATAAATGTCGTTTCTCATGTAAAAACGTAATGTTTCTATATTCTATAGCGTTAAAATATTCTTTACGCTTTTACAATAGATTAAGAATTTTTTTGTATAATTTAAATAAAAAAAATTCTGTTAAATAAAGCCATTAATATTGCCAATACAATTCGAAACGATTCATCAAATCGACAACACTTTAATATGTACTAAAATTATTATTGTTGACGAGCTTATAAATAATATTAAAGAAACTTATCTGATGGCATATGTAACAGTGTAAATTTACATAAAAACTCTAATACGAATATCAAATAAATGCCTTATCACTTGAATGTATTTTTATCGATCTCGATTATTATTAATCATCTACATTTATTAATTGTTCTTCATTATTCTATATCTGAACTTTTTTATATGATTTGTGTATCAAATACTGCCTTTAGAAAATAAGCGTGTTCAAGACGGACAAAGTCCCTAGCTGCTCGCCGAGCGATTGAATACCTATGATTGGGGTTGAATTTGCGTATAAGTAACAATTATATGATCATATAGGTACGTTCATTTATGTATTATTCGGCGAGCAGACTAGCCACTTTGTCGACTTGAACACGCTCAATAAAACGTAAAACGATACGATGCAAATCAATGAGATCAATTTGAAAATAATCATGCGATTAACAATTTCCTAAAGCATATTTAAACAATTTTTTAAGTTTTTACAATATTTAATATGAGAGTACGCATGTTTCTGTCGAGCCACTCACGGTCGTGTAAGACTAAAATATATGCTCTTTTGGAATATAACATATTCATTTCAATATTACATATTACATATTTAAATTTGCTTTTTTGTTGAGCTCTGTACGATTTTTTTTGTACCGACTTATGCAACGTTGAAGTAAAAAGGTCATTTTTACTTAAATGTTAAATAACTGGGTGAAAAAAAATCGTACAAAGCTCAACAAAAAAACAAATTGAAGGTAAAGATTCACTCTTTTGAAAGCTGTAAACCGCATTTGTGCACAATTTTTACTTGGCTCCGTGGAACTTGGCAAATTTTGTAAAAAATGTTTAGGTTTGACACCTTTTATTTATGATTGTGCAACTTCACGAGATATCAGTAAGACCGTTTTTTGAAGTACAGGACTGAAAAGTAGAGATTCCAAGCTTTGAAATGCTTTTTTAAACATCTCGATACGATGATTTTTAACGAAGTTATTCTATCTCAAAGTTTGGATATTTTTGCAGGGTGGAACAAGTGATCCTTTAATTTTGTTGAGTAGTGTATATATGTAATGTTAGAAATATTCTCTTCGGTACTACCACAAGAAATGGTCGGAGTCTATATATTTTATGATATAGTAGCTTTCACGGGTCGAAAAGAAAGAAAAACGTTCATATCCCTTATGATATATGCGCAGTTGCTTGTGACCAATTTTTAAGTAAAGCAAGTATGTTACAGCTTTGTCATATCGCGTTTGTATGTATTTCAATATCGTATAAATATCATAAATATTCATAACATAAGATCTTTGTTAAGTGAGAACAAGAGAAAGAACGAGCACATTTGCATTCAATTATTAAAATCCTATGTAATTTTTATAACATGCAATTATGTACCAAATGTGTTATTGTATTGAAGGAGGAAAAAATTTGTATTATCATTTTGTATAACACGTATCATTAAAACGTATGTAAAATATACTCAATAAAGTATTCATATCATAACAAATTGATACAAGTATAGTAAAGACTAATTATAGTTATATAGTGAGAATTTTAGCGCGATTAATAATGCATAATTAATCTATAATAATAGAATAGAGCGGGGCTATTTCGTCAGTTTCAACTTTAAAGTAATATGAAAATTTACAATAGCAAATAATAGGTGCTTTCCAATTGCTCAATACATCTTGATACAAACTTTTTAAAACATAAAAATAATACGTAAACGTAGTGAATTAATTCATATATTTTCGATGCTAATGAATAATTTAAATCTTTTAAGATACTATGATGATAACAAAGAATATGTAATTAAAAGAATTAAATTATTTATTAATACTAAAAATATGTGAATTTAATTTGCTACGTTTACGCGCAATGTCATCGAAATTGTTAACAAATTATATAAGTAGGGGCTAGTGAGAGTTTTAGCGCGGTTAATATTGTATTATTAGTCCAATATTTGAATTCTTATCGAATACTGAGTTTATTTAGACGTTTCGGCTCCTCTTCCGGCTCTCTTCAGTATATAATAGTAAATTAAGTAAAAGATCAGCATGTACTCTAATGATTCTGCCAATGAGCAATCCATTTTGTTCCATTATTAAGTACATATATAATTATATACTGAAGATGGGCCAAGAAAATAAAACCAAACATTTAAATAAACATGGTTTTCAGAAATCAAATATTAGATTAATTACGCACCGTTAAATTCGCATCCTAAACCTCTTATTATAGACCTTATTCATATCAATTTCTTGACAAGAATTTTTACACTCGGTTCCATTCATATTATGTTTAATCTTAATTATATCGTCGCGATTCTTTTTGCTATGTTATTATGAACGTAAAGTGATTCGTCTTCGCCAGTGAAAAAATTTTCATCCTATCTCACACTTTTAAGACATTTTTATGTTTTAAATTTATAGAGGTTTATGAAAAAAAGTTACCTTAAACTTCAGATTTATAAGTTTTCCTTAAGGCCTCTGTACACGGTCAGTAATACTGTCAGTATCAACGAATACTGACAATATTATTGATTGTGTGTGGTTAATATTAATGGATTGACGTAGAATACTGACAATGATTTGGATTTAAATACATGCTTATTCCTTAAGATCCATGTCGCCATAGATAATAATATACGTCAAATCACGTCAAACTGAAGTGAAATATTGTTAATAATACCTGATAGTATAAGATTGTAAAACCTAATGCATACTGTCAGTAATACTGATCAGTAATACTGACTCAGTATTACTGACCGTGTAGGGAGGCCTTTAGAAATTATAGAATAAAAAATCTTAAAAATTAAAAAAAAATACCAAAATTCATGTACATATATATATAATTTTAGAAAACTTTCTCAAAAATTTCTTATTTCTTGAAAGTATTCCAATTTGCAAAAAATCCAAGGAATTTTTCTAGAAAGTTATAAAATTATACAAAAATTCTGAAAAATTCCGATATTTATTTAGATATTCTAGAAAATTATTATATGTAGAGGTATATGAAAAATTACAAGAAAAAATTTCATTTTCTCAATTGGATTGTAAAATCTTACCTTACTGAACTGTCCCAATACATATTTCAGGATGCTAGGAGGCACATTATGCAATAGAGGTTCAAGAGCCTCGATATACATACATTTTTGCAGAACTTGTTTTAGTGCTGTATAACATTTTGTCTTGAGATCCTCGGAACTTGTCGGATCATTGTATAGCTAATAAAATTGTAATTGTAAAATCGAGAATATTAATTGATACAGAAAGAAATAAATACCTGAAATAATTTAGATAATAGGTTTGCGACCGCAACTGCCTTTGCATGTTCGGGCGTATATTTGCCAATTTGCCCAATAGCCCAGACGGTCACCGCGAGAATGTGATCGTCCGTTTCCTCTTGTAATACAACTGCTAATTGCTCGATGCCCTGAGTAACGCGAGTTTGTCACATACAGTACGAAAATCGTCTCCCGTTAAGCACAAAGTATGACAATAACATTATATCAATTTAATTTCTTATTCAATAATATAAATGTAATATAAAACATATACGTAACAATTACATTTTTGAATAGGAAATGATAACATTGTTGTAACTGTTACTTTGTGTTCAACTATTAAGCATGCATTTGATTGATACTTTAGATTTTATTATAGCCACAGCCAGTTGATCAGAATGACCAGCAATGTAACCAAGTGTCATGATTGCCGGTAATCTGGTCGCCGATTTTGAGATGCCAATTAATTCGATAAGTGCAGCGATACCTCCGCTGTTTACTACAAGCTGAGCCAACTGTAAAAATTACGTTATAAGCTGAGTGAGAAGACGTGACATCTGTATCTTTACCTCAAGCGTATGTTTGCAGATCTCCCTAGTTAAAATCGCTGCGATTTTACTGACATTCTCATCCGGATGTGCCATGTGTGCCAAAATGTCCTGAAAGATCTCTGCCTCAATCACAGCTTCCGCTAAATCTGCAGAATGTTTAGCTATGCTGCTCAACGCTAATAACGCTTGACGCTACAGACATTACAATTTTATTCAAGTGTCAATATTTTGATCAGATAACAATGTTTAATATATAGCTGTGGCCACAAATATAAGTATGATATATTGTAAAATATAACATATACGTATATATATTGTAAAACTATTATGTTTTAGATGTTTTTTATGTAAAATAATTCATGGATTATTGAAAGCTACGTTCTTGCACTAGTTACAGTAACTTCTATTTCACTTACATATCTTTCTTATAAATTCTAAAATCAGCTATATTAATCATAAAAGTTAATTACTTTTTTCTGTATTGTGTTATTTAATTCATAATTTACATATTTTATATTACTTTATGGATTTCGATAATATTCCATAGATTGTTTACATACAGGGACTGAGAAGGCACTGACTGCCAATTTGTCATGTGTGGAATTAGACATGACAGGAGGGAGAGGGGAAGAGCACAACCAAATGTTCACTATACAATATATATACTTTCAACTTTCAAAATATCTTTACTTTTTTTATAGATTTTCATATCAAGACTATAAAGAAAATATATTTTTTCATATCAAGACACCGTAACAAAATAAAGCTGGAATAACAAAATTCTTTTAATAATAAATTTTTATAAATATTTTCCTTTAACTTGTTGAAACATTTAGAGAAAATTTCGAATATTATTTTTTATAATGAATTCCAGAGTTATTAATCAACTCATTA